CCCCCTCGAACGAAGCGGCAGAGCGACTTCTGCTGTCGCTATTCACCAGCGCTCTAGCAGCGCGAGCGACGAGAATGTCCCTCCCAGCCCTTCCACCCCATCTGACCCCATACCCATGTCATTCGCATCGGACGCTGTTCCGTCAGACTGTGCAGTGGCCACCACTGTGCTCGGCTCTTCCGCGTCGTTCAACATCCCATCTGGTATCAACACCCCACTTCTCTCGAACGCGAAGATGCTGTCTCTGCCGCCGACGGACCTATTCTACCCGAACACCATTAATAACATGAACAATTCTGACGCCTTGGTCTCGGTGATCCCATCTCCTCTTCCAAGCGCCGACTTGTCGTCGATACCTGCATCCTCCGATGCATTTGATTTTGCAACAGCCGCTGTTGGGACATCTGACATGGCATCGTTTGCCTTCGAGTTCAACGGTATGTCACCCAATTCATCAATGAACTTCAACTTTGATCCCGCCGCTTTCATTTGTTTCTCGCCCGGCCCCTTCATCGATGTTGATGAGGGAGGGCTTCCGACTGCTGCCACGGGTCAGGAAGGAGATGTAGACCCGTGCACAGGGGTGCATTTATCGTTTGCTTAAGGACATCTACGCGGTTACTTTGAATGTGGAATGTCTGCTCATCAAGTATTCTTGTTCTTTCTTCAAATAATGACATACGTAATGGTCTTCTAACACCGTCTATAATGGCTTCTGCTACTATATACAGAGGAGGGTTACTTTTTTGTAATTGTACGTAGTTTACTATAATATCGGATGCTTTATCAACCACCGGCTGCATAATACTTACGACGGCCACAAGTCCTGCTAAGTCTGAAATGCGGATGACAATCCAGCCGGAATTCGCTGGAGTTCGTGGCGCTGGAGTCGAGAGCTCCCGCCGGAGCTAGCTGGAGTCAGTCGTGCTGGAGGTGAGAGCTCCCGCCGGAGCTGGCTGGAGTCAGTTGTGCTGGAGTCTCCGGCTCCGGCTGGAGTCCGCTGGAATGAGATGTACTGCATTCACCAGAGTCCGCATGGAGGTGCTGGAGTCCCGACATTGAGACCAACGCTTCCGGTGGAGTCGACCTGAAAGGCTTTTGAGTCTCATAATACTGGACGGTACGATCAACCGTCCACTCTTATTATACTGCTATTGTGGGAAGGCCAGGTGGTTAGGTAATGCGCGTCCTCAGCTTTGTTGGGAGGATTGCATTTCGTTTTGACCTCCTCGACTCTCTGGCATCTCCCATGCTCATCTGGACCTTTGACACCCAATCTACGCAGTACAGCTGTTAACATATGTCTGGTGGTATACATGACATTTTCCCTCAAATTTTACGGTCGCTGGATGGTGTCTTGGAGCTCGATGAGGGGGAACTATGGTAGAAATGAAGGGGGGAAAACCCAAATGGGACCACTTGTTGTGGGAGGGGTGCTGGGTGGACACAAGTGTATGTATCAGTACTTTGGACCAAATGATGATGTATGGGTGTGGTTCCCCGTGATTGGAGCTTGCTCTTCAAGATGGGCAGACTGTTTCAACTGAAGGTGAGTGATTCAGCCTTGGATCTTGAGATTGGGAAGCAGTCTGTGGAGAGAGATTGAGGCATCATTTGGCCACTAAAGCTGCTTTACTATCATGTGCCATGCTCAGGAGACTCTGTGCCAACTTCCAGGCCAAGCAGTACTCCTGATGTTGTACTTATGGATACTGTCCGACTAGGCGGTCTTCAGCCACATTGCTTGGACTGACCCAAAACATATTTGTGCGGCTGGCTACATCCTACATAAAATATCCTAAATACCCTCATATCGTAGCTTATATGTATGCCGACGTACTGCAAGTGGAATGACGGTGGTATGATAGTCCTAGCAAGCAGTAGGAGGAGTATACCACAGGGTGTCCGAGTACTAGGTTTCCCAGAGTAAATGATACAACTCCCACGGTGTTGAAGGTAATCATTACAATATCCTATTTACGTAATACTTTTCCGATACGACTGTTCCTCTCCTCTAAATCCCACCAGAATCCCTTTGCCGAATTCCCTTCCCTCCACCTTCAACATCGTGCCCATGCCACCCACGCACATCGCCATCCTCGGCGGCGGGCTCACGGGGCTCTCCGCCGCCTTCCACCTCGCGCGCCGCTTCCCCTCCACGCCCATCACCCTCCTCGAGAAGGAACACCGTTTCGGCGGCTGGGTCCGCAGCGAGCGCGTCGAGGTCGCCGACGGGCAACGACGCAGAGAGAGTATGGTATTGGAAGCGGGCCCACGGACGTTGCGGCCGCGGAGTATGGCTGTTTTGGAATTGGTGCGTGGTTTCGACGCGCATATACCCTGCATCCACTACTAGAACGCGTATTGACCCCTCAAAGCCCAGATCCACCTCCTGAACCTGACCCCCGCCCTCCTCACCGTCCCGCTCGCCGCCCCCGCCGCCCGCACGCGCTTCCTCCACCTCCCCCCGCGCCCGGGCCTCGTCCCCCTCCCCTCGTCCTCCTTCTCCCTCCTCTCCTCCCCGCTCGCCCCGCTCCTCCTCTCTGCCCTCCTCCGCGAGCCTTTCCGCGCTTCCAACCGACCAGATGGCGTGGAGGACGAGAGCGTCGATGCGTTTTTGAGCAGGCGGTTTGGGAGGGAGCTGGCGAGGGTGATGGGCAGCGCGCTCGTGCACGGGATCTACGCGGCCGACTCGCGCGTGTTGAGTGTGCGCGCGGCCTTCCCTGCGCTCTGGGATGCGGAGACGCAAGGGCGGGGGAGCGTTGTGCTCGGGATGCTGCGCCGGAAACAGGGCGAGGGCGAACAGGAAACCTATGAAACAGGAGAAGTGGAGGAAACGATGAAGGGCGTGTCGGTGTACACGTTCATAGAGGGCATGGAGACGCTCGTGCACGCGCTCCTGGGCGCGCTGAGGCAAAGGGAGAATGTGAGACTCGTGAGCGGCGAGCGGGCTACCGCGCTCTCGCTCGACCCAATATCTAAATCCATAACGGTACGCACCCCCCCTCCTCTCCCTCTGATTCACCGAACCTACATCTCACCCAGATAACGACCCCCACGCATACCCTCCACCCCTCCCACCTCGTCTCCGCGCTCCCGCTCCCCGCGCTCGCCGCCCTCCTCCCGGACGACCCGTCCCTCCGCCTCCCGCACCTCACCGCGAACCCCTCCGCGTCCGTGACCGTCGTCAACCTCGTGTTCCCGCAGCGCGTGCACCCGGACGGGTTCGGGTACCTCGTCCCGCGCTCGTCGGGGGAGGAAGAGGGGAAGGGGGGAGGGGAAGGGAGGGTGCTCGGCACGGTGTTTGACTCGTGCGTCGGCGGCGCGCAGGACCGCGTGCTCGGGGACGACACCGGGGAGCGGTTCACGAAAGTTACCATGATGCTCCGCGCGCCCTCCCGCTCTTCCTCTCCTTCCCACTCGCCCTCCAGCCAATCCCTCCTCCGCACCCTCACCACCCACCTCTCCCCCTCCCCCTCTCCCCTGCCCCAGCCGCTCCTCGTCCGCACGCACGCCCAAACCGAGTGCATACCCACGCCCACCGTCGGGCACTTGGCTAGGATGAAGGAACTGAGAGAGGTGCTTGGGAAGGAGCCGTGGGGCGGACGGGTGGAGGTTGTCGGTGCGGGTGTGGGGGGTGTTAGCGTGGGGGATTGTGTGGCGGGGGGGCGAGCGGTTGGGCGGGGGTGGTAGATGAGTTGGGATTGCGAGGGAAAGATGGTAAATAGGTAGGTGTTCGTGACTGCTGTTCTGCGTTGTGATTGAATGTATCCTGCACAGTTGGGGATTTGAAGATCGCGGGACGGGCGGACGTAGGGATGGTCATACGAGTATATAGACATTTGCGAATAGGTACGGGACACCAGGTATGTAACTTTGACTAATCTGACTGACACTTCTCTCACTACGCGTCACCTCCGACAGGAACGGCGTGCACTCTTGCTACTCGCGATCCTTGGCATCTCCGGGCCTCTAGGACGTGGACTCGATCCGCTACGGGTGTTAACGCGCTGCCTTCTCCACAAGCGCGCGTGAGCGGTGGCGGACCTGGCGGCGGGAAGTCTCCGCTCTACCCGAGGTCTCCGCATAGCGCGGTTTGGACGATCGCGGGGAGTCAGCGCGTAGCAAGCTGTGTCCCGCTCACCATTATCGCGCGCTGGGGACTGTTGCTCGGCACTCGCAGTTCAGACGTACGACGCGGTTCCGACCCCGGCGGGGAGTCAACACGTCAGCGAATGCAATCTGTTCGCTGTGGCTCCCGAGGTGCCGCGTCTCGCGCCGGGTAAGAGCAGCGCCGCCACGACGGACCGTCCCCCGACACTCCACCGAGACGAGGTCTTGCGCACGACGCAGTCTTAGCCGTGTCATACCAGAGTCCGTGCGGTGTTGTCAAGGGCGGCGCGCAGCTGAGGCGATGTGCGAGCACCCGACGATGACGCGCGGACTCTACTTGCGAGGGGAGTCACCACGGCAGGTCGCGTCCAGCGGCACATGGTGTACATGACATGCTAACGAAGACGGACTGCAGGCTTGTACAATCCAGCCCTGGCACTCTGCTATGTAGTTAGTCTAGATGTACTTATACTTCAGTCACTGAGTCAGTGATGCGGTACAGGTCTGGTTGTTCAACATGCATTAGCACGATCAATATACAGCACACTCACAAACTAAACCATAGCAATTGACTACTCTGCGTTGCTGCATTGGTCCCTACCATAGAAAGGTCGGCGGGTACATTCAAGATATCATCAATGCATGACTGTATGGTGTTCCTCGTACCATACAACTTTGTAGATTCGCTACGCGCCAAGTGACCGTGTGCTTGTCTACAGCACCCACAGCGGTCTATGTTACATACACTGTGCCCAAAGGCTAGTGTGTGCCAGTGCCCTACGACCGCCGCCGTTATAGACAACACTATTACAACGTTGCTACCAATACGCAATACTGCTATCCACGCGCCACCCTATTTGCAAGCTCCTCGTGAGCAATCCTGACAATCGCAGTGAGTTTGTTTTCCCCTTCAAGACAAAGTGATAATGATGGCGTTGTCAATGCGCAAACGTGGTGCTTACCAGTCCTGTAAGCGCTGGACTACCGCATGTCAGTGTCCCCTAGGGTAGTAGACCCGTGTATATTCAGCATCAGCTTATGACCTTCAATGATCTGCTTACCTCCGGCGGTGCAGTGGGGTATGTCGCTGCCAGAACGGCTGGCAGCTGTAGAATGACCACCTAGACAGCCCAGGTCCCAGGCCTAATTAGGCTGGCTCATCTGACCTCCGGTCAAGCCTAACAAGGCTCAGAATTGCTCGCTGAGTGACACCAGCGGTCGTACCGGGGCTCGCGGCTGTCTTATTACAACTAGTATACTATGTATTAGTACTATAATATAGAGTCTTGCTTGAAGCCGCCGCCTATGTGGTCGGGCGTCGTCGGCGCTTGCCGGTCCTGCCTAATCAGGCAATCGGAGCGCAGCCGCCCTCCCCGACGTCGTTAGTGACAGTGTGCCACAGCGTCACTGTAGTGGAATAAAATTGTAATATATATTAGTTCCTGTAACGTACATATAGGGTGACCGAGCGTTGCCGGAGCGACGCGGAACGATACGGTGGTTGTCGCCCGCCGCTCTCCTCATCGTTGGTGGCGGCGGCGGGGCAGCCTGTTGTATACGGGTCCAGTCAAATTCGATAAAATTCCAGATAAATCATACTATATTTCTAAAGTACGCATAGAACTTAATTACAGAGTA